GCCCTAAGGAATGGAGCCAGTTGTCTATGGACTGAGACCTCTGAACCATGAGCCCTGAAGTAAACTTTTGCTCCTCTAGTTGTTTTTGTCAGGTGTGTTGGTTACAGCAGTGAAAAAGCTGAGCAAAACAGAAGAGAAGTTAGAGAAGATTTTCTTGCATTCTGTAGGTTCTCCACATTCTTTTTTTTTTAAAATATATATTTTTAGTTGTATGTGGACACAATGCCTTTATTTTTATTTATTTATTTTTGTGTGGTGTTGAGGATGAACCCAGTGCCTCACCCGCACTAGGCGAGCACTCTACCACTGAGCCACAACCCTAGCCCCTCTCCACATTCTCAATTGTTTTCTTTGCTGTAAATAAGCTTTTAAATTTGATGCTATCCCATCTATTAATCCTTGACACTATTTCCTGAGCTTTAGGAGTCTTGTTCAAGAAATCTTTGCCCTGTCTGTATGTTGGAATGTTAACCCTACATTTTTTTTTTTTTAATTTTTATAGGAGTGGCACAGTTTCCAGTCTAATTCCTAGGTCTTGGGTCCATTTGAATTGATTTTTGTGTAGTATGAGGAACAGGGGTCTAGTTTCTGACCCCATTTTAAACATTGTTTTTATGGTTCAAAGAAACATTTGCTTACATTGCTTGACAACCCAGTCTTTAGCACTGGGTTTGTTTGACCTCTCGCTTAATCCCTTTTACTAGCCCTTCTTAGTTCCCTTTGTAGGTTTCTCTTCCTATATTTGCAATGTGCTCTTCAAAGCTTTCCTTTCTTTACTTTGTACACTCTTTCTCAGTAATATCACCCACTCAAATGATTTCACTTAATACAATTGGCCAATGACTAAGAAATCTCTGTCTCTATTCAGTCTTTTTTTTTTCCACTTTTTTCTTTTACTCTTTTTATCTAGAACTCTAGGCTTCTGTACATTCCCTTGGGTATCTTGCCAGCACCTCAGTTTCAATAGACTTTTGTGCCTATTACTACCCTGAGTCTCTCAACTCTGAATCCACCCTTCTGTGGTCTGCACCGTGATGCTGGAACTCTGCAAACCCCATTTTTGCTTTGCTAACTCTTTGTTCTAGCAATTGTGGGCACTAGAGGAGGAATAAAGTACTTTCCCATTTATTGATTAGATTATTTATTTATTTATTTATTTATTTATTTTTGGTGCTTATCTTGTTGAGCTCTTTATATACCCTAGAGATTAGTGCTATATCTGATATGTGAGGGGTAAAAATTTGCTCCCAGGATGTAGGCTCCCTGTTCACATCACAGATTATTTCTTTTGCTGAGAAAAAACTTTTTAGTTTGAATCTGTCCCATTTGTTGATCCTTGGTTTTAATTCTTGTGCTTTAGGCGTCTAATTAAGGAAGTTGGGGCCTAGCCCCACGTGATGAAGATTAGGGCCTACTTTTTCTTCTATTAGACACAGAGTCTCTGGTTTAATTCTTAGATCCTTGATCCATTTTGAGTTAACTTTTGTGCATGGTAAGAGATAGGGATTCAATTTCATTTTGTTGAATATGGATTTCCAGTTTTCCCAGCACCATTTGTTGAAGATGCTATCTTTTCTCCAGTGCATGCTTTTGGCACCTTTGTTTAATATAAAATAGTTGTAATTTTGTGGGTTAGTCTCTGTGTCCTCTATTCTGTACCATTGGTTTACCAGCCTGTTTTGGTGCCAATACTATGCTGTTTTTGTTCCTATTGCTCTGTAGTACAGTTTAAGGGCTGGTGTAGTGATACTACCTGTTTCACTGAACAGACACTTCTCAGAGAGGATATACAATCAACAACAAATGTATGAAAAAATTCTCATCCTCTCTAGCAACCAGAGAAATGCAAATCAAAACTACTCTAAGATACCATCTTACTCCAGTCAGAATGACAGCTATTATGAAGACAAACACCAACAAGTGTTGGCAAGAATGTGGGGAAAAAGGTACACTCATACATTGCTGGTGGGACTGCAAATTGGTGTAGCCAATTTGGAAGGCAGTATGGAGATTCCTCGGAAATCTGGGAATGGAACCACCATTTGACCCAGCTATTCCTCTTCTCGGACTATACCCAAAGGACCTAAAATCAGCATACTACAGAGACACAGACACATCAATGTTTATAGCAGCACAATTCACAATAGCTAAACTGTGGAGCCAATCTAGATGTCCTTCAGCGGATGAATGGATAAAAAATGTGGCATTTATACACAATGGAATATTAATAAAATAATAAATAAATTAATAAAATTATGGCATTTTCAGGTAAATGGATGGCATTAGAGAAGATTATGCTAAGTGAAATTAGCCAATCCCCAAAAAACAAATGCTGAATGTTTTTCTGATATAAGTGGGGTGACTCAAAGTGGGATAGGGAGGGAAAGCATGGGGGGAAGATTATTTCTAGATAGGGAAGAGGGGTGGGAGGGAGAGGGAGAGGGAAGGGGAATAGCAAGGATGGTGGAATGTGAGGGTCATCATTATACAAAATATATGTATGAAGATTTGAATTTGGTGTCCACATACCTTATATACAGAGATAAGAAAAACTGTGGTATATATGTGTATTAGGAATTGTAATGCAAAAAAAAGAGTACATGTATAATGGCATAATTTGGCATGAACATACTTTATATATAGAGTTACGAAAAGTTGCGCTGTGTATGGGTAATAATGAGTGTAATGTATTCCACTATTGTCATGTATTTAAAAAAATAAATTAAAAAAAGGACTTTCCCCTCTCCTCTGCTTCTTGTTTACTTTTGTCTGCTTGGGGGTTCCTGTAAGCATCTCTTGACCAAACCTTCAATCCAGAAATACACATTATTTTCTGAAGTAGCAGGGGAATGTAGTTTTCCCTGAAGTGGCAGAATTACCCCCATTACCACTTCCCTCCCTGTCACTATCCACAGTTAGACTTTCTGGGAGGTCTGGGTTCCAGCTGGTCAGGACCTCTCCTTTGAGCTGAGTGACACCAGGAGGAGCTGAGCAGGGTCTTCTAATAGAGGTCTGAGTTTTGGCTCAGTAGGATCCCTGTTCCAAATTTCTAAGTTGTAGTCATTCCAATCCCTTCCCTGGTTCCCTAGCCCTGAGGGATGGTGGTTGCTTTCTTTAATTGCTTCCTCTATGAAAACTTACTATTCTACTTTGCTTTTTCAGTTACCTAATTAATAGTTTCATAGTTAGTTAACCATTCTTCATATTAAATTATTCAAATATTTAGTATGGTTTCTGTCTCCTGACTGGACTCTAAAGGAATTTATATTCTCAGCCAAAAGCTGTACCCAAGACAATTTCCTTCCTTAGTAAATGGCATTAACAAACCTTATCCCCGGCCTAATCGCTAGGCATCCTTCTTAACCTTGGGTATTCTCTCAATTCCAGCATCCCAACAGTGAACAAGGCCTACAGCTTTGGCTTCCTGAATATTTTTTGTTTGTCTGCTTCTCTCCTCTTCGCCCACTGCCTTCAACTAAGCCACCACCAAACCTCCCCTGGATGACCCTCATCTCTAATAACTCTCCTCCACACATTTCTGGAGCCCCTCAAACTATTCTTACCACGGCTCTACAGTTGTCCTCAATCCATTTTCTAGATAAATATACTTGGAAACATTCTGCATCCTTAGCTCAAATTATAAGACCTGTGACGTGACTTTGGTTGCCACTGTGCTTCTTTTTGAAATATCTTCTTTACTTTAGTCTTTTGTCAGCTTTGTGACATGCCACACTTTCTTTGTGCTCTTGGAGCAAGCTGCTCCCTCTGGAAATCCCACCCTTCACCTGGATGACTATGAGACATCCTTGAAATATTGTATACACATCACATTCTTGGAGATGGATTTTTCTGATCTCCCAGGTCAGGCTGTTCTCCTGCTATCTGTTGCCACAGGTTCCTGAATATCTCCTTTTTCCTGTAATACTCAATAAACATATAAGTAGCTGTCTAGATGGCATGGCCCATCCTATGGGTAGGGGCCATGTCTGTTTTTCTTAGCTCAATATCCCTAATACCTAGGGTGCTTTCCAGCACAGTAGATAGGCAACACATATTTGCTCAGTTCTGTTGATTTATATTTTATATGTATCTTAGCACAAATAAGTTGATTTCAGGAGACATGTACTTCCTTAGATGTACCAGAGTCCCTCAGGGATGTTGGTTACCTCTTCAATGAAGGCTTCTTTGTTCTGCTCTTTCCACATCTCCTGACACCAGTCTCCCTTTTTGGGTTCTGAGAGCGATGGGAGGAGACTGGGGAGCAAACTGTCAGAAGTTACTACCTGGAGCTGGACTGGAGACCCAACACTACAGACGCTTACAGTTTTCTCTGTGCTCCTTTAGTGTCACACAACTCTCCCAAGTACTGGGACCAGGTGCAACTCTGCTTGTTGCATTTGAGCTCCAGTGGCCAAGGAAGGAATGTTCCTCCACTTCTAACCACCAACATGTTACTCACCATTCTAGGAAATGTAGCCATTCTTTCTTAAAAAAAATGTTTAGTTGTAGATGAACTCATTACCTTTATTTTATTTACTTACGTGGTGCTAAGGATCGAACCCAGTGCCTTATACTACCACTGGGTAATGTGCTCTACCACTGAGCTATAACCCCAGCCCTGCCATTATTTCTCAAGTGACAGAAACTGTGGAAAACAGTTGGGGAATGGACTCAAATACTGATGAAAAGGCTTTAAAGATTTCTCATAACCAATATTGGAGAAGCAGACACTTTCAAACAATATGAAAATGAGCAGAATCACGAAAACATATGACCAGTCTGTTGGAAAGGAAGCTGACCCGAGGGAACAGATTAAATAAATCCATATTTGATTTTGGTTTTGTCTCAGGGAGAGAGCTGTATTTACTTAAAGAAGAAAACAGAATATAAACTAAAGAACTTTCCTTTTTCCTTTCTTTTTATCTTCTAAACAGATTTGACCCAAGATGGACATTTTCCTTGAGAATAATATACCTTTTTCCTTCAGCTCAAAGTTTTACCTTTTGGATTGTATTCCACACACGTTCTTTATCGCTTCTTCTTCCTTCAAGGGTGTCCATAGCATCTGCCATTAGCGACTGCAGCTGTGGCACCAAGATAAAAATTATCAGTGTGGAATTCACACAGAAATAACTTCTCTAAATACACAGATTAGAACCTAATTAAAAAATCATTTGTACGCTGATGATTTTATTACTCATCTTTCCCACAATGAACACTGCCACCTCATCTTTGCTTCAGTCATTACTGAGTATTATTGCAGACATAAAATATTGAAACAATGGAAAGATTCTTCTTGAAAATTTGTAGAAAACATATAGGTTTTAATGTAGTAAATGTTGATGTTTTGTTAAAAACAGATTTGGGTTGTAAAGAATGAAGGCAGTAGTTAATTCTCCCAGGAAATGGCATGTAGTACATGAATACATTTGAGTGTTTTCTCCTGAGGCTAATGTATCATAATTCTAGGCATCACGCAAAAGCTCACCAGAGGACAATACTAAGATTGTGCTGTTTTATTGCCTCTTAAAGAATCTAGCTCATTTAGGTTCTTTCACTGTTCTTTTCTTTGTTAAAATTTTGAAATAACCAAGTCTTTTTTCTTTCTTTCTTTTTTTTTAGATGCCAAAGGCAAGTTTTAAACATGTTACACTTTGCCCAGAAGAGGTACCTGGAATATTCCAGTTGCAAACAATCCTGTACACATGATGTGTATGTGGCTGCAAAATTAAAGCTTCATCAAGCCTTGTGGTATTCATAGTTTAAAAAAAATTCTCTAAAAAAAGAACAGATATCGGTTCAGTTCACTGTGGCCTCACACGGTATGAACCCTTCGATAATCTCTCTGCGCTTTGGATATTGCAAAGCTTGCGTAGGAGGGCAGAGTTGAGTCATTCAAATATCTTCTGTTGAGCAGTCACTGTTGATATAGCACTGTACAAGGTATTACTAGGATTTATTTTCTAAGTTAACCCATACTTGGAAGTTGAAAAGTAAAATCTATTACTGAAGGTGATGAGATCTTGCAAGATACATACTTTTCAAATGTCTGGCTTGCACATATATCCATATATATCTAATTTTTTTCTTTGTGAGCATATAAATTATAAAAATATCCCATGAAATTCCATTTCCCAAGGTTTCAGATACTGAAAAATTGCATATTAGGAAGGGATGTCAATAACACTAGTTTTGTGCTCTATGTATATTTTGAAAAATAAGTATTTCCAGCAGGAAAATAGCATCCCCCCCAAAAAAAAATAGATGTTTGGTTAAGAAGACTTAAGTGCAGTGAACTCCCCTGTATTTTTCATTTAAATCTTGAATGTGCTTTTCAGGAAGACAGGATCAACATTTTGCTGGCTTCCTAAATTAACATTTTCTTTGCTTTCTCTTATCTCAGAGGAGCATTAATCATGTAAAATTGGCTATAATATGCTCTTTGAAAGCTCCAAACTTACTGCACTCCTGAATGCCTTATAAATGGCAGGATAAACACTTACTTAGCCTTTTAGAAGGTGTTCTGCACACAACCTTAAAGGTTTAGAAAGTCTTATTGCCAGTTTTGACTTAGTAATTCTTTGATTAATAGATTTACTTCATAGTTTTCATCTTTGGTATACACAATTTTATTATTTGGCAAGGCAGACCATTTTATATACTTACTCTAAATATCAGTATTTATTTAATACACTCTAAACAGGTTTAGATGAACATTATAAATCCTGGCAGATCATTTCTTGGTTATATCTTTAAAAGCTCAAAAAGGGCAGGTTCTTTTAGTTATCTGAAGATTACAGGAAATCAGTTCGGGCTGTACTATGTGAAGTCAATTCAGGTCTATAATTAGTTTTAGCTACTCTCAATTAGAGCTTCAAAGCAAAGAGCCCTTCCCTAAAACACATTAGGATCTCTACATAGAGTATATTTTACCTTTCCTTGAATGGGCAGCTAACTGTTTAATAATTGTTTTTCAAACAAGGTGCTACAATTTCTAATATTAATTATGATTATAATACACACATGTATTTGAAAATTGTTTGTTACCTATTCCCTCAACTAGTTATGACTGGGTCTGTATAAGGCCAAAAGGTCTGGTTTTCTGAGTTAACTAGTAAACTCAGTTTAAAAAGCAGCTATTTTTCACTAACTACATTTTTTTCCCAAATAAACAATGTTTTATTGATTTACATAAATGTACTAGTATGTGCTGTTTTGGTCCTTTCAATATTTGGTAGTACTAGAAGTGATTATGAAAATACCAAAGACCATTTTGTGGTTGTTTTTCTATATATGTATCTCTTTTGTCCTCTCATTTTCCCTAGAAGAGAATCATATGATTGTATATCTTGTTGTCTAAGAAACACTTCATTGAAATTAAAACAAAAAGCCTGATACACAATATGAATAGTCAGTTCCTTTCTGTCTTTAATACATCACAAAATTGTTGTTATGAAAAATGGAAACTAGTCCACGTGAGCAAAGAAAAACCAGACACTCACCCTACACTTTCCCAGTTTCTTCATTAAAATGCTTCATGAGAGATAGGGAGTTTGCCTTCAGGCTACATTTATTATCACAACTTCTTTTTTTCCCCCCCAAGACCATATCACTCTTCTGTTGACTCAGGGCCTGGGAAAGCCTTAAACAAAGAAAAACAAATACTTACCAATTCCGCCTCCTGTTGACTGATGTCCTGTAGATAGGGAATGGTTGCTAGCTCTGCCATTGCTTGATTAATCACTTGGGACTGCTCCTTTACTCTCTGCAGCTGGCTGAGGAGGCTGGCGTACTGCAACTTCTCCATCACGCCCGAGCACACACACATGCTCCCCTGGTCGCACAGTGAAGGGAAATGTTGTGGAACAAAACCACAGGAATAGACCTCTCCCTGGGCACCAAAATCAGGGCTTGGTATATTACATTTACATCTTTTGAAGCACGGTTTCTATTGTAAATCAATGTTTTCTTCTATCAGTTTAGAAAATTGCCTAAACATTTTTTTTTCTAGTAGGTGAATATATATAAAAGGGAGCTCTCTGCAGAACTGTCGAGATGAGTTTGCTGGTTGCCCTGCATTAGGGAGATGGACTGAAGGGAAAAGATGGACTGAAATTGTACCGGTGCTCTCCTAGTGGTGATCTCATGAGGCTGTGTCTAACTAGAAGAGATGACTGTGTCTGCATCACCATAGCATCAGAAGAGCTAAGAGTTGCTTACTGTCTTATGCAAGTGGAAACATTTGATGCAAGTTGAATTCTGTTTACTCTGATGGCTTACATTAAACCTCTGGCTCTGCCCTTCTCTTTAGTTCTTATTGGATGGCCTGCACTGGGTCCTGTCCCATAGCAGTTCACCCTGCCCCTGAGGACCACTTCAACAACTGACATGAACCATCTTGAAGCAGTCTTGTCTACATTTGTAGATATCCCCCTCCACTCCCTACCATGAATCTATTGGTATTTTAAGCATTTTTAGGTAGGCAACTTAGAATAAGGAGATCCTCTTGTGTGTTTGCTACTGCTTTCCACAAAAGAGGAAACATTACCTTCTCTAAAAAGTTTAGTATAAACTGAGATGCTCAATAGGAGACACAGAATTTATAAAATTCTCATGCTTGTCTTTCAGAAAAGGTACTTCTGATTTTGGTGGTATATAAGGGTTAAAACAAAGGTCTTGGTTTCTGCTGTGTTTGGAGAGTGCTGAGAAACAGAAGTCACAGAAGGATTTAGTTTAGCAATTGTACTGCTCATCGTGGTGCTCAGAAGAGGAAGGCAGGGTGACTAGTGCCCTTTTATGGCAGGACTCCTCTTGGATCTCATGCACCAGAATCTTAGGCTTGATGTTAACTAGGCAGTTAATAGAATCCTGGGCTTCATTCAGTGAGTCACAGAATCTGGATATTTGATCCTAGAAATATGAATTACTTAGGTGTCTGCCTAGATTTTCAATTTTCAAAAGTTTGAGAACAAACCTACCATCTTACAGCTTAGTATCTGATAAGGACTCTTTTAGTTGTTGAATACTTATGAAATAGAATTTTTTTCCAGGAATATGAGAAAGCAGACTTGTGATTTTTTTTAGACTTTCCTCTAAGGAGAAAAATTGCTAGCAACTAGCATTACTAAAGATCATCTGAACTTCACCTGGAAATTAGAAAGCAGTTCTTGTGAAATGCCATACTCATATTTTGATTGATAGCAACCTCTAGAAGCTGGCATTTTTTAGAACTTTGGAAATAAATGAAGGTTAGGCACCAATGCATTGTATTTGCTTTATTTCTCCCTAATATCTCTCTGTGCCATTCAAGTAATGTCCTATGTTTTCACTAATTTGTTCTTTTTGATTAATAATTTTTATGAAAATCTATAAACCAACAGGAGTGATGATTGCAAATGGTGAATTTGGGATCCGTTGCTTGAATTGACGAAATAGCTGGCTTACCATTCAGTTTAAACATGTAGCTAAACAATGGCCTTCTTTCAAGTAGAGGAAAGCAAGTTGGAGGAGAAACAGTTTTCTTTCTAAAGAAAAATTGCTTTCTTTGTCCTTCTTCAAAAGAAACAATGGGGCTAGTTGTAGGAAAGTGGTGTAGTGACTCAACTCCAAAGAGCAGAAACAACTGCAGCCTGCACGGGAACATAATCTATTAGTGTAATTTTCCAAAACATCAGGAAAATAAAAATAGTGGAAGGCAACAGTGCTTTGTTAGCTTGATTGTTGGATGCATAACAAAACAGGAAATGCTCCTTATGAATAAGATACTAGGGAAAGAATATCGTTGACTGCTAATAGTCACCCATCCTTCCCTTGTCCAAAAGGCAAATGCAATTTGGGTTATCAGAAAGCTTTAGATGAAAATTTTACTTATACAAGATGAGGGTTTTTCAAAGCCAAAGTGAAAAAGATGAAAATTAATACCTACTGTGAACAGAATGTTTTAATGCTGTTGCTTTAATAAAATAAAGGAAATAATGAAAAATAAAGGAATTAGCTTAAACATCTTGTGCTAGGAAAGGCTAAATTTGAAGGGAGGTAGTCCTCCTAATGAGACTTCAGGAGTGATCAAAGGGCTCCTTAGCTTCTGGAGAGAGTGTAATAAAGTGGCCAAGACTGAAGCTAAAACCTCACATTGGTACAATGAAGGTTAGGTAAATAGCAAGTTCAAATGAAGGCTTCAGTCAGAGAATTGCCTAGATTTAATAGCAATTATGGATAAATGTTTGGCAAATAAATGGCACTGTATAACACTGCTGAAAAGCAGAGTCCAAGTATTTGGAATGTATTTCACTTGGCATAACACATAGAGATATTAATTGCAAAAAAAGAGGGGGGCGGGTAGAAACATATACAACTGTTCATTTCAAATGTGCATGTGTAAACATTTTTTATGCTTCACTTGGAGGAAATTAACGAGGTATTAAAAACATGGTTAGTTAGGTCATTCTTTTGGCAAGTCATCCTGTGAAGGGGGCTTCATGCATGGCATGAGGTTTTATTTTAGCTCTGTAACATTTAGCTCAGGAAGCATAGTGCATAAGGTTTGAAACTGACAGCAGCCAAATAAAATTAACGAATGGAAAAGCAGAGTGCCATGTGAAATGATTAGTATAAAAATCATTTCAAGGAGTTGATGTTCAGTAGAATTGGAAGTCACCAAAAAAAAAAAAAGATGGAATACTGGCCATTATAACTCTTAAAATGACAAAATCTTCCTTGTTTGACCACATGTTGTATGTGTAGTAGAGAAATCCGTGAAGACAAAGAGACTCCTATCATAAGTGTATAAAGGAAATCATGGAATCTACCCTCAGACCAGGAAAGCCCTTTGTCTTTTTCACCCACCTACGGCAAGAGGTGGAAATTCACGTTGCCTAGGAAACTTTTCACAATTAATTTTCTTAGTCTAATTTGTACGTACATTTGAATGTTCATTTTTAAAACTGAACCCAGCCATGGAAGCATTTTCAAGTTGTCTTATGTATGGTTTGCCTCCCACAAGGATCAAACTATGATTTCAAAGAGATGGAATATGTCTTTAGTGAAAGAGTACTGTAATGATATTCTGAATATCTGATTTTGAGCCCTCACTTTTAATCCCCTAGCTGTGTGAAGATAACTATATAACTACTCTGAGTCAGTTTCTCAATGGTAAAACAAAGGTAACGATGTCAAAATCCTGGGGGAAAGTTCTTTTCACATTAAAGGACATTATACATGTGCTTCTCCTAAACTCCGTTCCTGAGTGGAGTCTTCTATTACTCTATTTTTCTACTATGTTTAGGTTAAAAAGTTTTCTTGATTATGACATGTTTCAGAGATTTAGAAGTAAGAGTGATTTGTTAGTTTTAGAATTTTTTTACTCACTTTATATTTAATATGCTTCTATTGAAGGTAAATTGTTATTCATTTTTTATGCATCTTGAGGAGAACAAAGGCATGTATCCTTTATTTCAATGGAGAAATATTAAAAATTGGAGCAACCAATTATAACCTATAATTTATTATATTGCCAAGTTAACATTCTTTCTAATTAAAGATACCAGGTAGATATTACAAACCTAAAATTTATAAGGTGATTAGATATTCAATGTGTTTAGGGAATAAATCATGAGAATTATGTGCATTGCCTAAGTATTATGGAGGAATTTACATATTTACAATCATTTATGTGACTTAATAGAAAAGTGGTAATTCTTAAAAATGGTATAACTGATTCTGGTCATGGTATTATACCCAGGACTAGTATTATTTTCGAGTCTCCTGCAGTTATGAATGTTAAAGTTTTAATACATTATATTTTTCATATTCCAAATTATTTCCATTAAGGAACATTGTCAAAATGAATTAAAACCTCTTAAGATATAAGACACAAAATGCATTTCTTATCTATTAGGCTTAGATGAAAATGTGGGTGTTCAAAATGGATGATTTATTACCTTAGTGGGCAAACAAAATCATGTCACAGTTACTAGTATCAAGGATAATTGAAAAATCTGAAATTCTTCAGGATAAATATAGAGACAAAGACATTGGTCTCTGTGCTCTGATGGAAATGTCTTGGATGATTGTCTCTATCCTACCAACATGTGTTGAGGCTGATAAGCCTTAGTGAAGCTGCAGTCCTGAGTCTAGCCCTGATGTGGGCAGCCATGTCCTCCCAAGGCTGGAGAGGACACCTCTAATTGTGCTGTGTGGGCAGATCTGAGTAAGTGGAGGATCTATGGAAAGTGAGCTAAAGAAAATAATTCAAAAGTAACAGGACACTAGCACAATCTTCTTATTAGAAGAAGAATATGAAATTTCAAAGTACATAGCTTAAATAAAGAAAAACAAAGACCTATAAAAGAATACTTTTGTCAAAGCAAACTAAAACCAATACAAATAATTAAAGCTTCTAAAATTCTTCATTCTATACAGAGTGCTTCAAAATGGGTTATGTACTTTTGGTCTTACAACTTTGAGCTTTGTAGATATAAGCCTATTTTATAAATAATCAAAAACAGCTCAGAGGCTAAGTGACTTGCCGTAGGATTACATACCCAGAACATAGCTTTGGTCAAGAGTCTTCCCAACAAGTATCACAAACTAGGGTAACAATACAGACAACACAATGTTTACACATTTGAGTGGGATGGCATTTGATATCTGACCAGAAAGAAAGAATGAAAAAAAAAAGACACCCAGGATGAACTTATAAATACTGTGGAGAGCTGCTTGGGTCACAGTTAATGGTACCATGGAGAAATAATTTCTAGTCACCAGCTATTACTTGCTTCATTAAGTTAGGTTACCTTTCCATCCAATTTTATTCAATCCTTCTTTGTAAAGCTATGGCTGGGCAAATATGAAACGTAGAGGCCAATATTTGGATATACTTATGTTCCCTGGAAACCTTCAGCCTCATTCATTTCAATTCCATTAAAACTCTTTGAGACGATCTTACAAAAATTATTACTTCTCATAGAAGCAAACACAGGCAAGTGGATGAAAATTCCTTGTAGTCAGCAGAGTGAATGGAGGCTGATTCTAAAGAAGACTGTTATTAATTAGATATTAAGAATCCATTTGATGATGGTGTTTAAATTGCCTTCAGGCACATGAATATACAATCATATACAAATCCCTCAGTGGTCAGAAATGATCTATGAAATGTGAGAAGAAAAGTAGCTGTGAATGTTGAGAAAGTATGGAAGGCTTGGACAGGCCCAGCCTGCTTTCACACCACCTGAACCAGCCACAAATGATGTTATCAGTTTCTGGACCAGTAACTAGGTAGGGTAGACACTGTCTCAAAAATTGAGGGCATAGACAACTTCCGTGACACCCAGGTTCTGTCAGGCTAGGCATGTACTTAAGAGATCAAATAATGCTTCACGTTGGTGATTCTTGTTAGCAAAACTTCCACTGTGAGGACTTGATGACAGTGACATGTGGATTTCTAATTAGGATGGGGAGGTTGATGTGTGTGTGTGTGTGTGTGTGTAGGAGGTTTTCATAAAGGGTGGATTGCAGAGTAGGGCCCCAAATTTGCAACACAGACTATGAAATTGTTAGAGACTGAAGGTTTGTGTCTCCTCCAAATTCATATGTTGAACATCTCAGTGTGAAGATGTTTGGAGATGAGGCCTCTAGGAGGTAATTAGACTTAGATAAGGTTATAACATTGGGGCTCTCATCAGTAACCGTAAAAGAAGGGACACCAGAGAGTTTATTCTGCCTCTCTGTTATGTGGGGACACAGTCAGAAGGCAGCTTTCTGAAAGCCAAATCTAGAGTCCTCATCAGAACTTGACCATGCTGGTACCTTGATCTTGGACTTCCAGCTTCCAAAATAGTGAGAAAAGAAATCTCTGTTGTTTAAACCACCAAGCCTATGGCACTTTGTCAGTAGTCTGAGCCAACTAAGACAGAGATGAGTTTCTTATTGGTAACAATGCAGGGGAGATACATGAGAGGAATATCTAGAGAAGAAGGAGCCTTATGGTAAAGAAATCAGTAAAAATGTGCTTTTATATTTGTAGTGCAGAGAATTACAAATCATGCAAATAGATTAGGCATTTTATAGCTTTTCTAAAATGCTGAATAATGTTATTGAGCAGATAAACTGCTGAACAGATGTTAAGTAGCTGTTTGTGATGACCCCCTTGATTCTCCCTGTAAGGTAAGAACATCAAATCAATGATGTAATATAAAAAATGTAATATAAAAGAAAATTCTTTAAAATTTCCAACTTATAGATCTTTTGAAAAATATTAAAAGAGGAGCAATCCATAGCCTTTATGGTGTGTTAATGAGTCGTTCTCTTTATGTACTTTCAGTACAATGACTAAAATTTTGTGAAAGAGAACTGCATAATTCAGGTCATATTTTGGGCTTTTCAAGACTGTAAAGTACAAAAAGCATATTTTCCCTGGATCTTAGAAAGAGATTAGATAACTTACCTTAAAGCTGTACAGAGATCAATTGCCAATGTTTAGAGTAGAATCCAATTCATCAGGAGGGTATGGAGGCACTAGCTTGAGTAGCTTGGAATTCTTGCGTAGTTAACAAGATGGTTATATGCTATAACTCAATAAGTGCAATAGGGAAAACATTGTGCTTGCTAAAATTTTGTTATTGATTCAAAATGAGAAATTCACTGCAACCTTGAATTAGCTATCAGGAAGGCATGAAGAAAAAGCTCTTTAAAGAGACAATAGTTTAATATATACTCGAAATTGCAGAGTGTAGCATTGTAATAGGTTTTGTAATATAATAGGAATAAAATCATTAGCTAAAATTTGTTTCGTTTTGCAGATGGGATTTTCTATGAATGTTTCTAAAATACCCCAGCATTTATAATATTTGCTCCATAAACTTTCCATACTTCTAGAATTATCTAATAGTTGTTGATTGGATAAATAAAACTAACTTGTATACCTACATTCAATTGGGTGCCTCTAATAAAATCCAATATCGGCAAGATTCGCTTCCCCATCGTCTCCATGTGTCTCACTGTGTCTTCTTTGGTCAGCAGACCGAAGGGAGTTTTATGTTCTAGAAATTGGAACAGTAAACTTTTATACTACTTTCCCAGACTTCCATTTCAAAATGCTTTCCTTAGCAAGCTATAAATAGATACCCAAATATTAATAGATATGAAATCTTTAGTATAGAAATTGTCCCATCTATAGACCATATGTATAACAGTGAAAGATCTATGAGGAGAAAGGCAGAGGAGACACTGCCCTTTAGAAATTGTCATCTATTCATTTGGTTGTGTTTCTTGATTGAGAGATCTAAGAGACAGCCTATAACAATTTACCTGTCTCTGCAGAATATATTTTTCCTGAGTTGTGGAAAAAAATGTTGTCATAAATGTGTCTGATTCTTGTCTTGTTCCTCTCAAGTGTTATTCAAATGTGCAGATCCCGTTGACTTTTGAATGTAGGTTGAAGCTGAGATAAGCCTCAGAGGATACAACACCAGACACAACGCAAATTCTTAATTATGTGGTTAGAGCTGAAGGAGTAAATTCCGACTGGTCATGAATTCAGTCCATAAATTCGAGACTTCAACTCCATGTAAATATTTTTCTTGACTTTTGAAAATTTCAACTAGAATTACTGAATACCATGGAACTGTAATACTCTTCAGGAGATCTAAGCTCTTGGCTAATTACATAAGAGTGGAACAGATACATCTGCAGGTAAACCAAGTGATTTAAAGTTGTTATTGGCTATGTGTTTTATTTCATAGAATAGTTTTATTGCACGAATGTCTTTTACATTTTCTAATGAATGATGATACAAGTGGTATTAGTGCACTATGATGAGGCATCAGTGATGCTGGTGGTTGAGATGAGGTGGTTGGAGTGAGGGGGTTGGGCACTGCAGGGACCATGTGTGTTCTTTTTTTTTTTTTTTTTTTTTTTATTTATCCTCTATATATTTCTTTTTTTTTTTTTTTAATTTTTTATTGTGGGTTGTTCAAAACATTACAAATTTCTTTTTTTTTTTTTTTTTTTTAATTTTTTATTGTGGGTCATGTGTGTTCTTTCAGGAAAGCTTTACTGGAACCAGAATCCCAGGTATTGTTGACCAACCCACAAAAAAGATCAGAAAGAGTTACTAATAAGTCAACAAACATCCTGGGGGCCCAGGCCCTCCTGCATGCTAGGCCTTGTGATGAATAAGACGTTATGAACAATGCAGGGTTCCTGCCTTGTAACCATATTGAAGGATAAGAGTAAGTCCATAATGTACAACATATACTGCATATGTTGTGTCCCTGAGGGTGCAGATGCAAGCACAGAGATGCCTTTTTGGGATCCTAGGCATCCATTCTTCAGTGCTAGATTACCACAAGGAATTATTTGTGCTTTCTCAGAGATTATGCAAAGGAACTGTGAACTCCTGGGAAAATATTTACACTTAGATTATTTAGGAAAAAAAATATGCATTTTATGTTACATGTTCTATATGTATATTATATATTATATATTCATATTGTATATTATATATAAGCTTTATATACTACATGCATAATATATTTGAATTATATGTTATCTGTAAAATATGCTAATATATACATGAGATTTTTCCCAAATGGGGTTTGAGGAAACTGGGAAATACATTCTATTGAGGACACATGCCCTTCTTTGTTTTTCCTCTGGATTACTAAGTGCCATGACCTGTTCTCACCTACTGATTTTCATTTGCAAGGTTTCTCCTTTAGAGCTCCCAAAGGGTTCTCCTGCCTCTCAGATCCCTCCACTGCTGAACCTCAAAGTCTGTTTTCCTCTCAGACTGAAGAATTCTCTTACTGATTGACTTTGAAAATGAATCCTTAGCTAATTAATTTATAAGGAATTATATATGTTCCATGCCAGATGCTCTTAATCTTTTTAATTAGTATTTTTAACAGTTATTAAGAGGACAGAAGGACACAATAGAATCAATTCTTTGGATCACTTAGAGTCTTTTCTCCATCTTTTTGTGGTGATCCTATTTAACATTATACCTAAAGGATGGAGGACAGAAAGATATCCATTCACTGTATTTAGAAATATGATGCCCCTCACAAACAATGTCCCTTAAATCACATCAGGAAATTTCATGAGTACACTTTGCGCTGAACTCAAAAGCAGTCAGTATGAAAATTAAATAATTCCTAATTAAATGCAGAGATGCAGCATATTGATGGATTGAAATATTCATAAATAAGAGTTCTATTGATTTAATACAATCTCAAGCAAAATTCCAGTATGATTTTGCAGATATTAATGTAGTCATTCCAAAGCTGTTTTTAAAGCAAAGAAACTAGAACCATGCAATACAACCTGGAAAGGGATCTCAAAGTTGGAGAATTTACACTTGTAATGTCCACATTTGCACCATAAGAACATAGTCAGGATGGAAAAATAGATTAATATATCTATTTTGAGCAAGTTGAAGAAATAGTGCTTTTCAACAAAATATGCTGGGAAATTGGATTACCATATGAAAAGTATGAATGTTAGTCCACTTCTTAAGCTATTACAAAATTAATGCAAATTTGGGGCTAGGGATGTGGCTCAAATGGTAGCACGCTCGCCTGGCATGCGCAAGGCACTGGGTTCGATCCTCAGCACCACATAAAAAAATAAAGATATTGTGTCCACCTAAAACTAAAAATAAATAAATATAAAAAATTTAATTCAATCTTAAGCCTAAATGTACAACTATAAAACTTCAAAAAAAAAAAAAAAAGAAAAAAGAAACATTTTGATTGTGAAAGAAATCAGAAGTAAAATCTATTGAAAAGCTGATAAAATAGACTGGTAAAATTAACACTTCCTCATCAACTAATGCCATTATGATAATGAAAAGACAAGCTACAGAATATTAAAAATATTTGTATATTTATAAATAACTGATAATAACTTGCATCCATCAAAATTAATTCTGTGTATACTAAATAATTGTTAATTTTTTCCTTTGTATTTCAATTAAGTAATAGTTCCATGAAAAAAAAGTCCAAGTGATTTACCTGTAAATGTTGGAAGTTTCCTACTTGATATTTTTCCCAAAAATTTCCCATCTTCTTTGTTTTTGAAACCAAGAGTCAAGAGATATTGTTGAGGAGGAAATGATGACCAGTCAGCTGTCTGAGGCAACAGGTGGAGTCCTTGAAGGTCTGAAATATGACAGAAAAAGAACTAAGAGACTTCATTTTAGCTTTATTATTTTCAGCAACCCCCCCCATTTTAAGAATTTACTTGGAAAAGATGATAAATATAAACATTAAAGATGCAAAATAAAATTAAAAAGGTCATCAGATAATATATTGAAATCATGCTTCCTTATTTATATTTTCATTGGCAATCTAAACACATACAAAGCATAGAAATAACGTGTGGCTAGATTATGTGGTCATTTTTATCCATCTTCAAAATAATAGACATTCAGGACCAGCTTGCAGGCAATACTTTGTAATTCTTCTCAATAGATTTTGTTTTTTTTTTCTGTTCATAGTTTAAGATGTAAGGAAATTATGTCATATAAAAGGAAAGAGAAAAATAACCAAATGAAAATTAAAATATAAAGCTAATTAATTTAGTTACCATCCTTCCTATAGTGATAGGAGGAAATTTAAAGTGCTACATGCAAAGTAATTAGACTTGGAACTAATTCAAACATCATGAAAATGGTTCTAAAACAAACTCAATTCTTTTTTCTTTTCCTTTTTTCTTTTTTGTGTGTTCGGGGGTGGGTACCGGAGATTGAATTCAGGGGCACTTGGCCACTGAGCCACATCTCCAGCCCTATTTTGCATTTTATTTAGAGACAGCATCTCACTGAGTTGATGAGCACTTTGTTTTTGCTGAGGCTAGCTTTGAACTGGCGGTCTTCCTGCCTCAGCCTCCCAAGCTGCTGGGAACAAACTCAATCATTTTTTTTAAATTTTTTAAAATTTGTTTTAATTAGTCACACATGACAGTACAATGATCTTGACATATCATACTTTTGAATCAGATGGGGTATAATTTCTCACTTTTCTGAGTGTACAGGTTGCAGAATCACATTGACCATGCAGTCACATATATATATACAACAATAATAATGTCTATTTTATTCTGCTGTCCTTCCTATCCCCCCATCCCTTCCCCTCCCCTCCCATCACTTTTCTCTACCCAATCTAAGGTGACACACTTCTTTTTTATTTCCCCCTCACATCGTCATACATGTATTCTGTACAACGATGAGGTCTCCTTCCATCTTCCGTGCAATTCTCCTACTCCCTCCCTTTCCCTCCCACCTCTCTTCTGACTATATGGGCTGATATTTCCAAGTATTTATTTTCTATTTGTTCATGCTCAAAGAGTTTTGTGTGTATTGTCTTTAAGATTGGTGCTATTGCTCCATTTTCTGAATAGAAGTTGTGGGAAACTGATGGGACACAGAATCCAAATTCACATGGTACTGTTGAAATATAGCCTTCAAAACTGGTAATATTTAAAAATAATAGACATAATAAACCATAGGTGGTGTTTTTTTTTTTCTTTTTGTTGTCATTGTTGTTGTTTTTTGTACTGGGGATCACTTAACCATTGAGCCACATCTCCAGCCCACCCCGGCTTTTTTTTTTTTTTTTAATTTAGAGACAGGATTTAAGTTGCGTAGGGCCTCACCAAGTTCTTGAGGTTGGCTTCTTTTTTTTTTAAATTTTTTATTGTTGGTTGTTCAAAACATTACATAGTTCTTGATATATCATATTTCACACTTTGATTCAAGTGGGTTATGAGCTCCCGTTTTTACCCCATATACAGATTGCAGAATCACATCAGTTACACATCAATTGATTTACATATTGCCATACTAGTGTCTGTTGTGTTCTGCTGCCTTTCCTATCCTCTACTATCCCCCCTCCCCTCTCTCTACCCCCTCTACTGTCATTCATTTCTCCCCATTGTATTATTTTCCCCTTTCCCCTCACTTCCTCTTGTATGAAATTTTGTATAACCCTGAGGGTCTCCTTCCATTTCCATGCAATTTCCCTTCTCTTTCCCTTTCCCTCCCACCTCTCATCCCAGTTTAATGTTAATCTTCTTCTCATGCTCTTTGTCCCTACTCTGTTCTAAGTTACTCTCCTTATATCAAAGAAGACATTTGGCATTTGTTTTTTAGGGATTGGCTAGCTTCACTTAGCATGATCTGCTCTAATGCCATCCATTTCCCTGCAAATTCTATGATTTTGTCATTTTTTAATGCAGAGTAATACTCCATTGTGTATAAATGACACATTTTTTTTATCCATTCGTCTATTGAAGGGCATCTAGGTTGGTTCCACAGTCTTGCGATTGTGAATTGAGCTGCTATGAACATCGATGTAGCAGTGTCCCTGTAGCATGCTCTTTTTAGGTCTTTAGGGAATAGACCAAGAAGGGGAATAGCTGGGTCAAATGGTGGCTCCATTCCCAGCTTTCCAAGAAATCTCCATACTGCTTTCCAAATTGGCTGCACCAATTTGCAGTCCCACCAGCAATGTACAAGTGTACCCTTTTCCCCACATCCTCGCCAGCACTTGTTGTTGTTTGAATTCATAATGGCTGCCAATCTTACTGGAGTGAGATGGTATCTTAGGGTGGTTTTGATTTGCATCTCTCTGACTGCTAGAGATGGTGAGCATTTTTTCATGTACTTGTTGATTGATTGTATGTCCTCCTCTGAGAAGTGTCTGTTCAGGTCCTTGGCCCATTTGTTGATTGGATTATTTGTTATCTTATTGTCTAATTTTTTGAGTTCTTTGTATACTCTGGATATTAGGGCTCTATCTGAAGTGTGAGGAGTAAAGATTTGTTCCCAGGATGTAGGCTCATTATTTACCTCTCTTATTGTTTCTTTAGCTGAGAAAAAACTTTTTAGTTTGAGTAAGTCCCATTTGTTGATTCTAGTTATTAACTTTTATGCTATGGGTGTCCTATTGAGGAATTTGGAGCCCGACCCCACAGTATGTAGATCGTAGCCAACTTTTTCTTCTATCAGACGCTGTGTCTCTGATTTGATATCAAGCTCCTTGATCCATTTTGAATTAACTTTTGTGCATGGCGAGAGAAAGGGATTCAGTTTCATTTTGTTGCATATGGATTTCCAGTTTTCCCAGCACCATTTGTTGAAGATGCTATCCTTCCTCCATTGCATGCTTTTAGCCCCTTTATCAAATATAAGATAGTTGTAGTTTTGTGGATTGGTTTCTGTGTCCTCTATTCTGTACCATTGGTCCACCCGCCTGTTTTGGTACCAGTACCATGCTGTTTGTGTTACAATTGCTCTGTAGTATAGTTTGAAGTCTGGTATCGCTATACCGCCTGATTCACACTTCCTGCTTAGCATTGTTTTTGCTATTCTGGGTCTTTTGTTTTTCCATATGAATTTCATGATTGCTTTCTCTATTTCTACAAGAAATGCCGTTGGGATTTTGATTGGCATTGCATTAAACCTATAGAGAACTTTTGGTAATATCGCCATTTTGATGATGTTAGTTCTGCCTATCCATGAACAGGGTATATTTTTCCATCTTCTAAGATCTTCTTCTATTTCTCTCTTTAGGGTTCTGTAGTTTTCATTGTATAAGTCTTTCACCTCTTTTGTTAGGTTGATTCCCAAGTATTTTATTTTTTTTGAAGATATTGTGAATGGAGTGGTTGTCCTCATTTCCATTTCAGAGGATTTGTTGCTGATATACAGGAATGCCTTTGATTTATACGTGTTGATTTTATATCCTGCCACTTTGCTGAATTCATTTATTAGCTCTGATAGTTTCTTTGTAGACCCTTTTGGGTCTGCTAGGTATAGAATCATGTCACCTGCGAATAGTGATAATTTAAGTTCTTCTTTTCCTATTTTTGTGCCTTTAATTTCTTTCGTCTGTCTAATTGCTCTGGCCGGTGTTTCGAGAACTATGTTGAACAGAAGTGGTTAGAGAGGGCATCCCTGTCTTGTTCCAGATTTTATAGGGAATGCCTTCAGTTTTTCTCCATTCAGAATGATGCTAGCCTGAGGCTTAGCATAGATTGCTTTTACAATATTGAGGTATGTTCCTGTTATCCCTAGTTTTTCTAGAGTTTTGAACATAAAGGGATGCTGTACTTTGTCGAATGCTTTTTCGCATCTATGGAGATGATCATATGGTTCTTATTTTTAAGTCTATTGATGTGGTGAATAACATTTATTGATTTCCGTATATTGAACCAGCCTTGCATCCCAGGGATGAATCCTACTTGATCATGGTGCACAATTTTTTTGATATGTTTTTGTATCCGATTCGCCAGAATTTTATTGAGGATTTTTGCATCTAGGTTTATTGATATTGGTCTGTAGTTTTCTTTCTTTGAAGTGTCTTTGTCTGGTTTAGGAATCAGGGTGATGTTGGCCTCATAGAATGAATTTGGAAGTTCTCCCTCTTTTTCTATTTCCTGAAGTAGCTTGAAAAGTGTTGGTATTAGTTCCTCTTTAAAGGTTTTGTAAAACTCTGCTGTATACCCATCCGGTCCTGGGCTTTTCTTAGTTGGTAGTCTTTTGATGGTTTCTTCTATTTCCTCAATTGATATTGGTCTGTTTAGGTTGTCTATATCCTCCTGACTCAATCTGGGCAGATCATATGACTTAAGAAATTTATCTATGCCTTCACTATCTTCTAATTTATTGGAGTATAAGGATTCAAAATAGTTTTTGATTATCTTCTGTATTTCTGAAGTGTCTGTTGTGATATTGCCTTTTTCATCCCGTATGCTAGTAATTTGAGTTCTCTCTCTTCTTCTCTTCGTTAGCATGGCTAAGGGTCTGTCGATTTTGTTTATTTTTTCAAAGAACCAACTTTTAGTTTTGTCAATTTTTTCAATTGTTTCTTTTGTTTCGATTTCATTAATTTCACCTCTGATTTTAATTATTTCTTGCCTTCTACTTCTTTTGCTGTTGTTTTGCTCTTCTTTTTCAAGGATTTTGAGATGAAGTATGAGATCATTTATTTGTTGGTTTTTTCTTTTTTTAAGGAATGAACTCCAAGCAATGAATTTTCCTCTTAGAACTGCTTTCATTGTGTCCCATAGATTTCGATATGTTGTGTCTGTGTTTTCATTTATCTCTAAGAATTTTTAAATTTCCTCCTTGATGTCTTCTATAACCCATTGATCATTC